AAAAAAACAATGCGTTTGTCTCACTGTTTAATTTTGCTTAAAATGGTTGAACTGCCGTCTTATTACTATCATATGGCCGAATAGACCTACGAAGTACTATGTGCTCTGGTAATATGGTATAAGGTTTATTTTTTTTTAACTTGGACTTTACTTTTGCATTTGTATAACATTAAATAATATTTAACATTTGTAAATATCAATGAATAATATACCTTTTTTTTTTTCAAATTAAGGTTCTTCATTGTTTGATATTTACAAATGTTATTATTAGGTGAAAATTTAATTTAATAAAAACCAAGGTTTCCAGGGTGATTTAGCTGTACCTACTTATATAAATGATTTTTTTATAACAACAGAAAATAGTACAAAAGGTTTGCAATCTCTTCATAAAAAAAGTCACTTTCTCTCAATTTCAAAGAAAACGCGTAAATTAATACGTAGTTACCCACTAAAAACAAGTATCCTTCCATTTGTAACTTATGTTTGATGATTGTCTGTGGCGCTTGACACTCCTGGTGTGTCATGAAATATTTGTTCGCCGCGACAGCTAACAGTTGTCGAAAATTGGTGCCGCAACGAATCGGTTAAGAAAGTTTTTAATGCAATTGATGGAACTGTTGAAGATGTTCTTAGCAAGGCTCGGCCAAGAAAAACGTCTCCCAGAGAAGATACGCTAATCGGTCGTGTTGCTAAAAAAAACCCAAGTAAAGGCTCCAACTAGATTAAAAATGAAGTTTTTTCGCCTGATGACCCGAGAAACATGTCGTCAAGACTGATACGCCGAAGATTAGTGGAAGCTGAATGGTTTGGAAGAAGCTCTCGAAAGGTACCGCTTCTTACCAAGCAACACGAACACGAGAGAAGCTATTATTATTCGCTAAAAAATATGTTAATTGGACGGTACGAGAATGGAGAAAAGAGTTATTTTCAGGTGAAACAAAAATAAATATGGTAAATAACGATGGAAAGCGCTATGTTAGACGTCCTGTAAACACGGCTTTTAATTATAAATACACAAGGAGTATAGTCCAGCACGGTGGCGGTAACATTAAAGTTTGGGGGTGCTTTTCCGGATGTCGAGTTGGACCCGTTCGAAAGATTGAAGGTACAATGGATCAATGGCAATACAAAAATATATTAGAGCACACAATTATTCCCTACTCGGACAATCATTTGCCTGTAACCTGGATCTTTCAGCATGACTATGACCCTAAACACACGGCCAATAGCGTGAAATGTTTCCTTAGCGAACAGCGTATATCCGTTTTAGACTGGCCAGCAAATAGTCCGGATTTAAAGCCGACAGAAAATCTCTGGTATATTTTTTTAAACGTTACCCCTACACTAGGATTTTCTCCTGTATCGTGGAGGCAGTTTACAAACATATATTGCACAAGGACAAACATCCAGACCCGGAACAATTACTTGTAGGCCATACAAATACTTGTTCCGTGCGGGATTCGAACCCGTGGCTCCAAGCGTTGCAACTCATTGCTAAGCCACAATCAATTATATTGTTAAAATAGAGTCTCAAACAAACGTAACGCCAGTCAAAACGAACTATATGAAGCATTTGTTGAAGCATGGAATTCAATCCCCCTAGAAAAATGTATGAAATTGATTGAATCAATGCCACGTCGTTGCAGTGATGTTATTGAAAATAAGGGATACGCCACTAAATATTAATTGTAACTATTGGTAGGCTGTGGATAGTAACTATTTCGTAAATAACAATACTAATTACTAATACTTAAAAAATATTGCTTTTAAACTTTTTTGTTGTTGTTTCTAATTAGTTGACCATTATTGTTCATACCTTAAAACTGATTTAAATTTTTGTCCGTAATGTAATATTGAAACTGCACTTGTGTAAGGGGATTTATATTGTTTTTCTAATAAATGATAAATCGTTGAACATATTGTTGTCCTATATATTGTTTAATTTCAAAATAAAAACAATTGCGGTGAAGTTTCTTACATAATGTCAAGGACTGTCGGTAGTGTTTCTAGTTATACGACCACCACTATATCTTTTTTATATATAAAAATTACGTGTCACATTGTTTGTCCGCGATAAACTCCTGAACTACCTGAACTGATTTCAATGAAATGTTTCACAATGTGTGCAGTTTGGTTCAACTTGAGAGATAGGCATTGAGTTATAATGTACTGCGTACTAGAGACGCTATTTGAAACAAAAAATGTGAGCTATTCTGTTTTCGCGCATGCGCGGCAGATAGCAGAGTCACGCATGCGCAGTTTTTGTCATCATAGATTATACGTAGGTGGAATGATCAGTATGTAATAAGTAATTGTTTATTTAGATGGTATTGTTAATTATATCGAGTATAGTTTTTATAATTGTTATTTATTTTTCATATGTGTTAATTTGATATAATATAACATAATATTATGACAGAATTAAATTTTAATGATATTTTGTTTTTATATTAACTAAATATGTAAACTATACATTTATTATCGAAAATCATTATTATTACTTTTCTAGCATTTTCTAACGTATTTATACGCAGCTGGTGAATAATAGTGCAAAGTCAATGCGAATTTACATAAAGGTGCATTCATTATATAATAAATAATGCGTGCATTGTTTATTCTATTTCATTAAAGATTTATGTAACTCCACAAATTCTGCTTTACCCATTAAATCAATCTCAGCATTTAGGTTGAGACCGAATTTATGTTTAAAATTTTGTACAATTGATTTGTAAGAAGCACATTTTTTCTTTAGATAAGTATTTTGTCTTTGTATTTTCTTAAATTTCTCAGTAAGTTTTTTTCAAGCTGCAGATTCCTTCCTAATAAATAAAAAACAAAATATTACAACGTGCTCATAATTTATTATTTTTATTATGACATAGAATTATTGATTACGTTACTAAGGTAGAACTATATTTAATAGATTAGGCTTCGTTTATATCACTCGAATTAGGCTTAGGACACATCACTTGCATAAGTTATTTTTAAGTACAATTTTTCTCGGACTATCAAACATTGAATTTGAACTGCTTACTGATTCAGACAACGGTCCCAATTACCTACTTCCTGTTCACCACATTTTGTTGGCTGAAAAAAAGATACTAGTTATTTGGAAAGCCTGTAAAAATTCTAGCGTATTAAAAAACCAGTACAGTATTAAAAAACCGCCATATACTAGTATGACTCGCGCGCCGCCTCTCTTAAGTCTCGTAAATATAATGAACATTACAAAAATTCGTTCGTATATATAAATAATATAATTAGGTTATCATATATCCGCAGTAGAACCAGAGTAACCGACATAGCCCAAAGAATTAGTATGGTGAAGTGGCAAGGGGCTCGCCATATAGCTCGATGTATCGACAGCCGATGGGGAAGAAGTGAAGGGCTGTAATAATGATGATGATGATGGTACTGCAGATTTCTTTAAGTACACTCAGCTGTTTTTATGGTGTATTTGTCGTTATCTTTTAAATGTACGGAACATATACTTCAATAATCTGACGGTAACCACGTTTCTTCGCTGCAAATCTTCTAAACAAATTTGATCCATTATTCTTTTTTCATATCACGGCGGAGAAAATATTAAATTTAATGCGTTAACATTTCCTACCGTGATTATATATTAATATTTTACTGGTCATATTTACTTAACATTATACGTCGATAGTGTCATGTCTGCGCATAAAATGTTTTAATCTTTGACATTCACGTACACGTTGCAGTTGAGCGTGTTCTAAAGATACTAATGTGTTGAACTTACTGGTGAAAAGTCACTCCTTGCCTTTACTTATGTTTCTCGAGTTGTTTGAACAGTATTTCAATGCTTATGAAGGCATAATTAATTTTAAAAATTTCTTCACACAAACGTCTCACGTTCCATCAACCGCTTGCCACAGACTAAGTGAGTTGGAGAGCGCGCGCTCTAACTCATGTTACAAACAATCGAGTTGAGGCGTCTCCTCTACTACGTAGTATATTATAACTCAATGTAGATAGGATAGTTTTTATCCCGATAAGTGACACTCAATTTTTTTTATTGCGAATTTAATGATTTTTTTTTAGGACACATGGTCGTCGGAAAGGGTAGAACAACGTCTGCCTGGTCAGCTACTATACATATATATATATATATATATATATATATATATATATATATATATATATATATATATATATGAGTTTAGTTTCTCTACCATTACTTCCCTTCAAAAGGAATATGAGAGACATTGTTCGTAGTAATTGTCTAAAATACTTTATATCTAGCAACATTATTTAGTATAGTGTTGTAAAATATTATAACTTCTCTATTTCGTCCTGGGTTAACTGGTAGAAAATGCCATAAGTCATAAACTCCACTCATTGTAAACCGTATTTCAGAACAGTAATTCACACCGTCAAATAATTTTTCAGAACCGTCTGAGAAGAACATTAATTCAAATTCTACTGATAGTGACATAAACGTAGTACGTAAAGAAAACCTCAATTTTGAAGACTCTACATCAAACTCTAATCAACCAATTAATAAAAAAGGAAAGCATTCTGGAAAGATTATTAAAAATAAATTTTTTAAACAAAACTGTGTAAATATACTTACGAAAAAAATATCTGGGGCATCAAGAAATTCCATTTTTGAATGTGATGACTGTAGCAAAAAGTTTTCAACAAAAGATGTTCTCGCCGACCACATATCACATAGTCATAAGACGCAAAAGAACTCGGATGCAGTTCTGGCACAAGTTGAACATACTCCAGTACCACAACTAACGGATATATTTAACTGTGATATTTGCCAATTTAAAACATCTCAAAAACGTTGCATTTTGTCACATCTTAAAGCACATGTCGCTAAACAGGTATACTGTTGTAATAATTGTGATTATAAATGTACAGATAAAAGAAACTTCCAAAGGCATATGAAAAAACACACTGGAGAAAAACCTTTTTCGTGTAATAGTTGTGATTATAAAAGTATTACAAAATATGAATTGCAAAAGCATATGAATATACACACCGGAGAAAAACCTTTTTCGTGTAATATCTGTGAATATAGATGTATAAAAAAAGCTAATTTGAAAGATCATATAAAAATACACACCGGGGAAAAACCTTTTTCGTGTAATATCTGTGAATTTAGATGTAATAGAAAAAATCATTTGCAAATACATATGAGAATACATACTGGAGAAAAACCTTATTCGTGTCATATCTGTAAATATAGATTTACTACAAAAAGTTATTTGCAAGCACATATAAAAATACACACCGGTGAAAAACCTTTTTCGTGTCATATCTGTGACTATAAATGTATACGAAAAACTGTTTTGAGAACACACATAAAAATACACACTGGAGAAAAACCTTTTTCGTGTAATATCTGCGAATATAAATGTTCTCAAAGAAGTCGTTTGCAAACACATATGAAAATACACACCAGAGAAAAACCTTATTCTTGTCATATCTGTGAATATAGATGTATTACAAAATGTAGTTTGCAAAGGCATATTAAAATACATACCGGAGAAAAACCTTTTTCGTGTCATATCTGTGAATATAGATGTATTACAAAATGTAGTTTGCAAAGGCATATAAAAATACATACCGGAGAAAAACCTTTTTCGTGTAATATCTGTGAATATAGATGTATTACAAAATCTAATTTGGAAACTCATGTAAAGATACTCACAGGAAAAAAAGCCTTTTTTGTGTAATATCTGTGAATTTAGATGTATAACAAAAAATCAATTGCAAAATCATTTAAAAATACATCATCATCATTCATTACAGCCCTTCACAAGTCCACTGCTGAACATAGGCCTCCCCCAAAGAATGCCACAAAACACGGTCCTGAGCCACCTGCATCCATCGACTTCCTGCATGTCTTACCAGGTCGTCACTCCATCTCGTGGGGGGACGCCCTACACTTCGCCTACCGGTACGAGGCTGCCACTCGAGAACCTTTCTTCCCCATCGGTTGTCGGTTCTTCGAGCTATATGGCCGGCCCACTGCCACTTCAGCTTACTAATCCGTTGGGCTATGTCGGTCACTCTGGTTCTACTGCGGATATCCTCATTCCTAAGTTTATCACGCAGAGAAACTCCGAGCATAGCCCTCTCCATAGCTCGCTGAGCGACCTTGAGCTTCCTCATACGGCCAGCAGTGAAGGACCACGTCTCAGTTCCGTAAGTCATCACTGGCAACACGCACTGGTTGTACAATTTCGTTTTAAGGTTTTGAGGTATGTCTGACGAGAAGATGTGTCGTAGCTTCCCGAACGCTGCCCAGCCGAGTTGAATCCGTCGATTGACCTCTCGGTCGAAGTTGGACTTACCCAGTCGGACTATTTGTCCCAGGTAAACATACTCGTCAACAACTTCGAGCTTAGTGTTCCCAACATCTATCGGCATAGGTGTGACATGGACATTAAACATGATCTTAGTTTTGTCCATGTTCATCTTAAGACCTATCCGTTGGGAAACACTATTGAGGTCATTGAGCATAGTGCTTAGGTCCTCCAGCGATTCTGTCATAAGGACTATATCGTCGGCAAATCGAAGGTGAGTGATGTACTCGCCATTGATGTTGATACCGTATCCTTTCCAGTCCAGAAGCTTGAAAACGTCTTCCAATGCAGCGGTGAAGAGTTTCGGGGATATGACGTCACCCTGTCTTACACCTCTCTGCAATTGGATAGGTTTCGTACTCTGGTTCTGTACTCGGATAGCCATCGTAGCCCTACTGTACAAGCACTTCAACACTTCGATATACCGACAGTCAACTTGGCACCGCTGAAGGGACTGCAGCACCGCCCAAATTTCGACGGAATCAAAGGCTTTCTCATAGTCCACATACGCCAGACATAGTGGCAAATTGTACTCTTCGGACTTCTGTACAACTTGCCGAAGGGTATGTATGTGGTCTATGGTGCTAAAGCCCTTTCGGAAACCGGCTTGTTCGGGAGGCTGGAAGTCGTCAAGTCTGCGCGCGAGACGATTCGTAATGACTCTCGAAAACAGCACGTAGACGCGGCTCAGAAGGGAAATCGGTCTGTAGTTCTTCAAGAGAGCGTTGTCACCTTTCTTGAAGAACAAGACCACCGCACTTCTGCTCCACGCCTCCGGTGTAATGCCACCATGGAGGACGGAATTAAAGAGCTTCTGAAGGACTTCAAGTACCGGTCTTCCACCCGCTTTCAGAAGCTCCGCTGTAATTCCATCCTCGCCTGGGGCCTCACCGTTTTTAAGGTGCTGGAGAGCCATCCTAATCTCGCTCAGACTGACATCCGGGATATCTTCGGAATAGTGTCGGATGAGACTCGCTCTTGGATCGTTACTCACACTTGCGTGTGGCTCCAACGATGATGTGTACAGCTGCCCATAGAACCTCTCAATCTCACTCAAAATCTCAGGTGTCCCGGAAACGATGCTGCCACATTCTGTCTTCAGCTTTGACAGTTGGCTCTTTCTGGCAGACAGATCTCTGGCAAAGACTTTGGAGCCTTGGTTCCGCTCGATCGCTTCTTCAATACGAGCTGTATTGAAGTTGCGTAAGTCCCGCCGCATGCATTTGGAGATCTGTCTGTTCAGATGCCTGTATGCTGTCAAGTCTGTTGAAGAATGTAGCTTCATCTCCCGTCTAACAGCCATGAGATTAAGAGTGTGATCGGAGAGTTTTTGTGTTCTTCTGCGGCGGGTCTTGCAGAACTTAGCTCCAACCGCATGGACAGTTTCCACGAGCTTGTCATTCATATCGTCCACTTCATTGCAGTCTTCTAGGCACTGAAAACGGTTTTGTAACTCGAGCTGAAAGGTTTCGGGATTTTGAAACAGAGCACGAGGGGGACGGAGCGTTGACTTCATTAGACGAGACCTCTCCAACTTAACGTTTAGGTTCAGTGTGCCTCTAACCATTCGGTGATCGCTACCAGTTTTCACCCTCGCGATCACGGAGACATCACTGAACAGTTGTCGTCTGGTCGTCATAATGAAGTCAATCTCATTTTTTGTGGAACCGTCGGGGCTCGACCAGGTCCACTTCCTGTGGGGCCGCTTCTGGAAGAAAGAGTTCATCATAAAGAGTCCCTCTTTCTCCATGAAGTCGGCCAGCTGCTGGCCCCTTGGGTTCCGTTGCCCTATTCCAAATTTCCCTACTTTCAGCTCACCGTTCTCTCTTGTGCCTAGTTTTGCATTGAAGTCTCCCATTAACACCGTATATTGGGTTTTGGAGGAATGCATGGCTCTAGAGATATCCTCATACATTTCCTCCACCTCCTCATCGGGGTGTGCCGAGGTTGGTGCGTAAACCTGTATGACCTTCAGCGAATACCGTTTGGTGATTCTGAGTATAAGGTACGCAACCCTCGTCGACACACTCCCGATTTTTACAACGTTGTTAACGAGAGACTTGTGGACGATAAATCCGACACCTCCTTGGGACAGATGGTCGCCCTCCCGGTGATAGAGCAAGTTGCCGGATTCGAGGATTACCGTGTCCTCCCCCTCTCTTCGGACTTCAGATAATCCTATAATATGCCAGCGCAACTTGTCTATCTCTTCTTCCAGCTCCACGATCTTCTCGTCAGTCCTCAGGGTGCGTGCGTTGTACGTTGCCAGGTCGAGTCGTCTAAGGTGGCAACCGAACCTCCACCGGAGATTCTTAGCACCCCCTGCCCCGCCGTTACCATGGTCGCCACCGTAGCCAGGAATAGCGGGGCCGCCGGGGACTGGGGGCCGTTTTTTTGTTGCTCTCATCATTGGGGGGGTATTTGCCATAGTTGCCACGCTTGGCGAGCGGGTTGGCAACCGCAGTTTTTTTATTGTCATTTGGCTATTATCAGGAAGATGCTGCTGCCCATCTCCTGGCTGTTTCCCTTTGTCGCCTTTTACGACACCCACGGGAGGATATGGGGTAGTGGATATTCTTGACCGCCACTACACGGCACAAAAATACACACTGGAGTAAAACCTTAATCATAGTTTATTTGCAGAAAACATTGTACATTACAGGTTTGTAAATTATTTAAGTCCAGCATGCTTTGTCATAATCATGACATACAAATATTTATCTAATATATAAATTACATTTTTTCTAATTCATCATAATCATTTTATTATTTTTAATTTAATTAAAATAATATAATTGGGTGTGGCGGCTCTGTCGTCGCGACACAAGCGAAACATATCGAAGCCTAAATCGCGCTAACAAAGTTCTGAAGTTAAAGCAGTATATAATATAGAATAGCTCCGAACTACCACTCGGAGCGTTGGCCGCTCCCCGGGCAGAACACCTTGCCCGGCGGGAGATCTCCCCTTTTCGTTCCACCCGCCACAGTGGTGACCCCGACGTGATATGAATACGCAACCAACAACCTTCGGAAACTACAACTTCAAAACCTTCGTCATCATCCTCAAGTACCCCATTCATTCGCTCGCGAGCAGATATTGTCTGCAGTCTTCCCATTCCGCAAGCCATCTAGCTTTACAAAGGTTCATCGCAGCACTGGAATAATAATGCTTCCTGTTCCTTCAAGCTACTCTCTGCGCTACAGTGTTCGGCACGGCTCTAAGCCTTACTGCTCGCCTCTGCTTCACGGCACTCTCGCAGATTACTTGCCTTCTTCTCGATTCACCGCAGACTTAAAAGGCAATTCCCTGGCACTTGCAAATTCGTCGATATCTAGACTGCACTATCGACCTCCGGTCTGAGCAGGGGGTGATGTGGCGGCGCTGTCGTCGCGCCACAAGCGAAACATATCGAAGCCTAAATCGCGCTAACAAAGTTCTGAAGTTAAAGCAGTATATAATATAGAATAGCTCTGAACTACCACTCGGAGCGTTGGCTGCTCCCCGGGCAGAACACCTTGCCCGGCGGGAGATCTCCCCTTTTCCTTCCACCCGCCACATGTGCTTAGTTCATTTTAATTTCGATACCTAATTCTAATCATAAAATTTAAATATTCTTCAATATGGTAAAATCATTGTTCCTCAAGCCATTGTTAAACAATTCTGCTAAAACGTACTTTTGGGAGTGATTGGAACTCTGTAGGCAATGCATTGAAATTTTTTTATGCACATAGCTGAACAACTCTTCCTATAAAGTCTGGTGATTGGCATAACACTATGGGGTTGTTCTTTCAGTATGCCTCAAGTTCCTCTGTACAGTATCTCTTAACTTTGTGAATAAAATTATATTATCTTTATAAATAAAAATTACGTGTCACATTGTTTGTCCGCGATGAACTCCTAAACTACTGAACTGATTTCAATGAAATTTTGCACACTGTGTGCAGTTTGGTCCAACTTGAGAGATAGGATAGTTGTTATCCTGATAAGTGGCACTCAATATTTTTTTTATTACGAATTTAAGTATTTTTTATATGAAGGGTCGTCGAAAAGGGCAGAGCAACGTCTGCCTGGGCAGCTAGTTTTTAATAAAACATACCAAATTTAAGATGTACATACATGTAAGCGTCAAAATGCGTAATTTTTTTAAAATATGGTTTACACGCTATATCTGTCTGTATGCCAAACCATGCATCGCTCGAATACATTTCTTTTGGGCTATAAAGGCCTTAACAGCATGTTACTCTGTACTGTGTACTGTTACTCCAAATTAAAAGACCATAATCTAGTAGTATACTTCCGTCTAGGCAGTCCCTTCCCGATTCTGCCGTTCACTTCTGCATCATAAATTTGCTTTGCCACTCTATCC